AGGAGGGGAGCATATGTATAAATGTGTCTGTTGATTGTGTATATATAGGATATACATATTTTTATATATTGTGGGAAGCGGTATTTTGATCTCTGTCTGGACACACAATAAAGTTGACTTTGACTTTGACTTTTTGAAATTCCTCTGACCCCCAGCTAGTCTCACATCTCCCCCTGATCTACCCCATCATGTGTCCTTGTTTTTAAATGAAGACTTCCCAAGTACCTTACAACGCACTGAAGACAAGACACCAAACCCTCCACGTCCTTGATCTGTTTTTTACTCGACTATGACGACACGTCTTGGTTGGTACTCACCAGCTGGCCTTCTCGTTCAGAGCGTTGGTGCCCTGAAGATCTGACAGAGGAGTGCGGGGGTTCTTCCTGCTGATGCCTTTATGGCAGGAGAAGAGAGAAAGACACTGATTACAAACTCACTGGATGTATCTACACCTTCATCTCCTACATGAACATCAAGACACACCATCCCCTCATCTTTACCAATAATAACCCGACTGCCTTTCCCATGGACACCCTGTGACGTTTACGCTTATTATCCAACTTCCCTTCCTCTCTCTCTCTCTCTATCTGGCTACAACTGAAAATTAATGTTGCTCTTGCCTTAGACTGGCTTTACCTTTCCCGAGTTGGCCCCAAGCGCTTTGTGTGTGCGCGTGTGCGTGTGCGTGTGCGTGTGTGTGTGTGTGTGTGTGTTTCATTGGTTTTGGGAGTGCAGTGCCAATAGAGATATTGCATATGAAAACAAGCAGCTAATGAGCTGGGTGTTTCCAGTTTATATTTGTGGTTTTCTCAATGCTTTCACTACACAATGACTAATTTCGCTAAAAATGTCAACCTTCTTTCAAAAGGGTTATTTTTATATTTCTTCAGAGCAACCAAAGACATTATAATAACTGATTTTACAGACGTAGTGGTATGACCAAAGACCACAGTGCTCATATTGATGTGTCAAATCTGTGGAATGTGTAGGAAACTCCTTGGGGGAATTTTCTTAAAAATGTCCTTGAAAATCAATTCCAGTTAAATCCAACCGGAGTGATGTGCATGAAAACAAAAAATGCTGCTTTACAACATGTGACACTTGGAGGTTAAAACACACAATGACACACTCAGTCCCACATGTACGGACACATACGTTCAGATCTGAAGCCAAATGTGTGACAAAGGACGAGCACAAAATCAAGAAGGCGTCATTAAACGCTGCCGGTTCACACAAGACTGATTCATTTGTCTGATCGCTCATGCGTGGGAACTAAATCTCTGCTGAGAGGTGAGGCAATCGGACCAGAGCTCGAAATGACCCACATGTCCGATTCCGATTTCCAATATCTTATTACCAGCTCTAATAAAAGCAGCTTAGCGAGGCTGAAAATCGTAAGTGGTCCATTATTCCTAAATTGAACAGCAAAGACTTTTTCAATTCAGCCTGGAATTAATTCCTCGAGCTTAGTGAACGGCCTCTGATTGGGATTTTAAAAGTAGGAGCACGTCTCACTTCAATTTAACAGACATTTATCGAGAGGAATCCATGCCATTATAAACCACATTAACAGAGAGCCCCCTCGTAAGTCTGCTCTGATGAGTCGAGTGTTACATTACACTGCATTTTATGTTTGAAGTCCAGTTTCAAAATAATTTGATGCTGAAGAAAAGGAATACATTTCTAAGAACAGCTGCTCATTGTTTTAATATCTCAATTAGAGCGCTGATTTAAGCTAAATTAATTGGTTTTCTTTCACTGATATTAGATTTGATGTTTAATAAATGTGTTGACCTAATAGACCAGAGCTTACAATAACATGTCATAAATGTACTTAAAGCTAACAAATACTCGTAAACGTTGAGAAAAAAGCCTTAGCAATTCATTTGAAGGAGAAAGATTTTTAAAGTGGACCTATCATGCTATTTTTAGGCAATAGCATAGGTCTCAGATATATACAAATATATAAAAAACATGTCTATGAAGTGTTTTGCTCAAAATACCAAA